TGTCACGAAAACATCTAAGAAAAAATCGTTTTTTCCACCTCGATAATGTATATAGAATCCAAAAAGTGGCGATCGAAATAAATTAAACTCGAAGAAGGTTATCGATATTATCGTATATGATATTTGAAAAATATTCACTCGAGTGCAGACTAAAACACTACTTATAGTTTATTTATTCCATACAGTAGCCACTGCATATGTGTAGCGTGAAAATTGTGCAAGTGATTTTTAATTAAACTCAAAAAAATGGTACGTGATAAATTATTATAATTTTTTTAACACAAAATTTAACTGCTCGATCATAAGCAACCACTTTGGGCTAATGTTTTTGTGTTGTTATTTTGCCGAAATTAATAAACGTTTAAATGTTAAGCGCTTTCGCTGTTACACAATTCTGACACGAAGTACATACGAAATTCAAACGGTACGCGTGTCAAACGTTAAAGTGCACAACTCAGTCACTTTACGTAGTGGTCATGTAATTAGAATTGAATCTCATTGATGACGAGACAAACCAGTTTAGCACTAGAGATGCAAAAATGATACACGTCAATGTACCATTAGTATTGGCAGATGTCGCTAATTTCGATGTTAAAATTAAGAGGTGTTGCCACACAACGCGCCATGTGTGACTGTCGTAACGGCCATTTATTCCACAACACCTGTTAGTTTTAACAGTCAAATGTGTACTAGCAATTATTTACAATTTAATTATTCTTTTTAATTGGCTGTATATATCAATCTGGTACACTTTGAGGTCATTATATAAAAATCAATAAAATGTACGCAGGTAAATAGTTATGTTATGTGTAAACCATAAAAGCTTTTACGATCGTACTTTTACAACGGCAGTCTTATTTCCGGTCGGGCGATTTGCATTCACGTGCTGATCCAAACGGTTTTATTCTTCATATTTTGTTTGAATAACAAAAAAAAAAAGGTTCAGGCGACTTTTTTTTTTTTTTACTGTTTAGTTAGAGCACTACTACTTTTTGGTGGATTCGTTTTAATTTAATAAAAATTCGTGCGACACTGGTTCGCGTGACTTTGCGCGGTCTATACGCTACCGAGTACCGCGTGTGTATTTGAACACAACAATAATGTTGCGCTTGTGACGCAGAGGAGTTGTGGCAGTGAAATGTTCTAAAATTAAAGTGTACACACACATAGACTTTTACATACTTGCGGTGCGCACCTGACAGCCCTGACCACCGGCACCGCCGTCTACCGCCTGTCAGATGGACCGAACCGATAAGCAAAGTCGGGGTGCGCTTACGCACACAACGCGAGGCCACCCGACTAATGTTCGAAGCGAGTCCGCTTGTCTGTCGATTTCGTAATAAAAATAAACTCACGTGGAAAAATATGTAAAACAACCGCAGTGGCGTCCTTACGGTTTGTTGTATGTAACACAATCGACCGACTCGGGTAAATGACAAGTGGAGATTTTTCCGCGGCCAATGAATTATCGACCGCCAAAGTCGGTCAGTCATTTGCGAGGATTCCTTTCTGCAACACAACACTTTGCGCGGTCGTTTACATAACAATAACGTGTCAGCCGAACAAACGCTGCTGTTCGGCTAAAAGCACTTGGCCGTCGGGTCGTCGCGCTGATCCCGACTGCGTTTTTCACAGTGTCTTGTTTGTGGGCTATGCAAGTCGTCCACAGTCAATTTGGTTAATGGCATTTGGTAAAAGTCGAGGGTCTCACTTTCCGGGGTGTCGACTCGAGTTTCCAGCAGCCGCCCCTCTCCTCCCCGTAATCGCCGTGTCGTTAGTGCCGTCTGTTTAAACATGCGCGTGTATAATGCGAGCCTACCGGTTCAGTTGGGGTCAAAAGCAAAATCATAATAGAGGAAAAAAAAATACTTTGACGTCGTTCAAACGGTGCGCTTTCACTAGAACAATAACGGCATAAATATTATGCCAGTGGAGTAAAAAAATCGATTAAAACGTCTAAATTGTCGCACAATCGGCGTAATTGGATTTAATGTACAGAATAAACGTTAACCGATTAACTCGTATAAAACCGTCCGTGTACACAAAAAACGGCTTCCACGGGCACACTTAGTACGAGTACGCGCCTTCGATGAATTTTTCCAGTGTCTCGGCTACGTTACCGATATGTTTCAAATTTGAGCCGTACACGCACTCGCAACAGGTTGTCATACTTTTATTGATGTCAAACTATGCGGGTGGTCGTATTATGAGATTCGCGATTAAAATACTCAGATTAGCCAAATAAAAATATCATGTCAGTATGACATAATGTACATCGTCGTATTGGGTGAATAGGTCACTTGCACAATGTGCGCCTTCTATTCAATTGTGTTTATCAATGCGGAACGTCATTCAATATTATTTGACGATTTCAAACGAATTTTGAAAATATTTCATTATTTTTCGGTTACTCGTAGTGTGTCAAAGTGCTTTTGTTTAAGTATACAGCTTTGCTTTTTTTCGTCGTGTAATAAAACATCAGTTTTGGTAAGAGTATAGGACGTTTTGATCCAATCGAAAACGTGAATTCTGGTCCGATGAAATAAAATGGAATTCTCAACAAAAAGGGTCCGTATTTAAAAAAATAATAATTACGCGTCCGACCATTATCCGAAAATGACGTTTATAAGAACCCGGGCGTAATTTAAAACTAAAAAGTGCGGTGTTCAAATATAATAAACAAGCGGTATTTGCGTGCACTCGTTTCGTTTTTTCCTACGGTTATCCTAATACTCAAAAAAGGCACTATCCCCCCGAGTGGCTGATTCTAATTAAAACATATATAATTATCAACGGTAGAGTAATAATGCTGTTTCTTTGTACACACGACTCGGCCGTTAAAAAAAATCCGGCAATTTTTTTCTCTTAGTCTTCAAAAAGATTACTCGAATAAGATCAGCCGATGCACTCGCGTTGTCAAACCAATGTTGACTCGATTAATTAGCGGTAAAACGATTGAATCTGTGGACTACTGGCCAATTACAACCAGCGGTATTGATGTCGATACGGTTTGGTGTTGCGGCCACAGTGTAATAAAAAATACGTGTTGTTATCTGCACGTGACGGGACGTCCCCATTGTCATTGCCCAACCGACAACAATGAAACGCGTACAAGCGATTCGGTTTGTTTGGTCAGCAAGGGACGACTGTGTGTGCGTATGTATACGATTACGCCATTTCATTGTGAAAATCGGATCACGTCACTCGGCCGGGAATAAAGTGACATAAACGTACATATTGTATATTCTCGACCACACTCCTTCCTGCGGTGGTCACACCGTTCCCAACCCTCTCGCTTTCTATCCGTGGTGTCTCTCTGTACCGTCGGTAAACAAACGGAACGCGTTTTTATCCGCGACGATGTCCCGTCGCGAAGGAACGGAACGCCGCCGGCTAACGTACCACCACATTCTTGTTGGACCCGTAAAGGTGTACTCGTGTAACAATAATAATGACAAAGACGAAAGAAATATTTTTGGCCAACATCTTCTAAACGATTGCGACCACTCGTCGCACGTGACCCTATTACCTCTATGTTTATTTGCACAAAATATTGATGTGCCCTAAACCCGGTTGTGTAACATGGTACTCCTCTAAACTAGTGACCACCGCATACCTTTTTCGTATATGTTTGTGTTCCCACGGTTCGAGCGTTATAACGTACTGGAAGTCGTTCGAAAGGATTGACCGGAAAAATGGATTTCGAACCGAGAGGGGGAAAATAATTATTGCCGCGCAGGGAGGGCGAGTACGAATGAGATAGGCCGGCAAGAAGATTAAGTACGACGCGCCGTGATGGCAAAAGGGTTTAACAATTGCGCTCAATTACTTTTTAAACGATGGCTTCGCTTATAAGCCATGCGGTCGTTAACAGCCAATTATTGGGATGCGCTTCCGCTGCCGCGTTCCGATCGATTCAATAAAAACGTCGCCTTTCCAGTACTGTTTTCACATAATATGGTACACACACTATTATTTTCTACGGTACTCTGAAAACGACATTAATATTGTCTCGCGCAGTAATGACTGTTCTCTATGGTTTTTGACAAAATAACGTTTGCCGGCCACACTCGTATCGTGTTCGTTGCGCGTTTTCATTAGGAACTTTGCATTTGAATAGTATTAACTGCACGTCATAAGCGAACGACACATCTAATAAACGACACCAATTATTCCAACTTGAGTTTTTTGAATAAGTAATCAGTATTTCGATTGACTTTATTCGTTGGAGCCCATCACGACTTATAACAGAAAATTATTAATGTAACTGCCACCTTTCTTGACCTTAAAAATACTGAATTTTTATGATATATATTATGCAGTTATCCGTGTAATAGAGACTTGATCATTTTTTAAGAATAATCATTTTTCCACTAGAGGCACTACAGTCGTTTCGATATAATTCTATTTAAAATTAATTCATTCGAGCGACTGGACCGTACTGTATATAATTATAACGCCAATAGAGTTTTAAAAAGCTGCCGACTTTTATTTTTAATAGTACAAACAACGTAAGAAATTTAAAAATAAAATAATAAGCTAAATTTTACTGTCATCATTTTTGCACGATATTTCAATTCTAAAAGCCCTTTTAAAATTCTAGTAAAACTCTGTTGATTGGACATTGTTCACATAGTCTCAATTTTCACCAACAAAATACTATGTAAATATAGTGATTATTGTGTTAGCCATTAATATGATCAATTTTTTTACTCGAGTTTTAAATATTAAAATGTAGAAATAACTTTAAGCATCCCAACCAGTTTCTCCATTAGAATTAATGGATTTTTCTTTTTCTTGATAAATGCTATTATTTGGTAATGCTAAATATTCAATTATTCGTGCTTGAAAATACTGTAAACAAGAAATTTAAACTCATGTCTCAACCATTAACTGAAAATCCAATATTTTCACTTGTAATATGTACAACATACTGCGCGATCATTTTTTAGATAATCTTATTATGAAAAAAGTATCTGTTACAAATTTAAATAACTCACCCGCTGGCTTAGGAACGTTTCGTTTGACTTGCATCCATTTGTATGTTGGCACCGCCGTTGGCGCGACAGAACTGTGCTTTTGGTGCTGAAGCTGATTCTGAGATGTACCATTTTGTCCGCACTGCTGTTGCTGTTGTTGGTGTAAGTGTTGTTGATGAACTACATGTTGAGGTTGACTAATCTGGTGCTGTTGGTAGGTTGCCGTGTCCTGATAAGGCGACGAACTGTCTTGGGCACCAAAACAATGGGGAGTAACTTCTTGTTTGATACGGGGACATCGTTCGTCTGTCACCGGCGGTGTTTGCTGTTCGTGGAGGTGATGATGTTGGTGATGGTGAGGGTGATGATGATTCAAGTGCATATTGAAAAAAGCGTTGTCCACCGATGTACCACAATAAGACTCGGTGTCTTCACGGCCGTAACTGGCATACGGTTTGCTTCCATATCCAACTTCGTCAGTACCGTACGCCCCGTAATCGTGACTGTGGTGTCCAATGTTAGCCGTCACGGTACCGCCGCCAACACTACAGTCCAAATTCGTGTAACTCAATCCGTCTGAAGACGTGATGATTACGTCCGCTTCTGTCGCAGCGGCCGTTTGATGGTAACCACCGTCGGTAGGCTGCTGCGTCGGATCGGACCCGTACGCACCACCGGCGGATGCGTCGCTGTAGTAAGTCCTGTAATCTGACGTACCGTTCTTAGGATAATAGCACTCGGCGTACACTGAAGTGTCCAGTGGCGGCCTTCCCAAGCACTGTGGATCGTAATCCAGTCCACCATAATAATCGTCACCCATCGAGTGCGTGTACATGTTGGCGGCACAAGTATTTGAGTTGTGCATTCCCATGTTAGGTGTCTAAAAAATTATTTAAAAACATTAATATCTTCACGGGCACAATTTTCAATAAGAAAAACTAAAAAGTTTGCTCGTAGTTTATAATTGGATTGACGAAAATTTGGATTACCGAACCATATCGTATCACAAACCAATCTACATTGTTTGGAATTTCACTTTTTATATTAAATCACTAGAATTCATTTTATACGATATTAATATTGTAAAAATCCAATCAGATTTCAAACACATACATTAGAATGTTATAATAAACTTGCATAGTAAAAAATAAAATATGTTTGAAATTATTATAAAAGTAAGCCTTCTGTGTTACTTATAAAATAATTATAAAAATACAAGTGACTATACAACAAAACATTTTAGTCAATAATCATAAAAATGACTAATCGGCGTGACCCACCGAAATATTCAAATCGCCTCAAGTACCTAAAAATGTAATATTGTTTATTTTTACAGTTGCAAGCATCATAAATGTACTTTAAACAGCTAAATTGATGATTTAATTAAAATAACACTTAATTTTGAAAATTTGTATAACTTAGAAGTACAAATGAGTTTTGCATGTAATGGAAAATTTTTGAGAGATAAATATTTAAAAATGGCATTCCTTGTCTATTGCAAAGTATATTTTTTGACAAAAAAATACACCAAAGTATCTTCAGGAAATTAGACAATAATTTAGAACAAACATTTTTATTGAGAAATAAATATATTTTCAAAAAAACATGTCATGTGAGTTTGCTTTTGTATGCTTTTTACTATTAAGATTATATTTTTAACACAAAAAACCATCTTAAGATTGTTAAAAATTTAGTAATATTATAGCTGTTCATAAACTAATTTCTACGTATATAATTACATATAACTTTTAATATTATAACCGGAGAATATTTATTGACGTGACGTCATTGGCATTTATGTTTTAGTATTTTTACTATGCTGATATTCAATAAATTTATGACTTAAAAACTATGTCAGTTTCTAAAAATTATCATTTTAAATTATGTAGCTTATTCTATATTTAAATGCTAATAATTCAACATATGACATAATAACAAAAAAATGATTTTAGTGGTATTCAAAAATTGTTAAATTTGCTACTAAATTCTTTTATTAAAAACAAAAATAAAATTGAGTTGATAATCAGACTTTTAAATTAAATTTAAAAAAATATATTATCTAATAAGAGTTATGTAACAATTGAAAACACTTAAGCATTATATTTAAAAAGAACATTTACTACAATAACTTAACACTTGGCAGAAATTTTACTTGATATATTGAGAGTAATTGGTAAAAAGCAAAATAATTCTTATTTATTATTTTAATAATTATTAATTCATTAGAAAAAGTCGAATCCTTCATTTGCCCCAACCGTCGGGCTCGATGATGTTTTTAATGGAGTAAATTGACGTATCTTAGCTTAATTTAGGTAATGATTAAATGAACTATCTATGTACTAAGCAATTAAAAATGAGTAACTACTTGCTCCTTTAGGAAATGTTCGATGTATTATTCAATATTTATTTGGTTTACCGTGTAATTTAAAACAATTTGAGTGTAAACATATTTTAAAGGGTAATCCCATTAGGTATTGTACTGGATGATTATTATATTAACTTTTTTTTCTAACTGAGCTATTTCAACTAGTTTTTAGCAAATCATTAAATAGTATGCTTATATACAATTTTTTTATGTAGAAATTTCATATACAAATAACATACAAAAAACTATTGTCCCTACTTCATTTTTATTCAAAAGTTTCCCTATCATCTAATTTAAATAATATTTAAAATTACAAACAATATTTATTCGTAATGCATTTCTTTAGTTATCGCAATAAAAAAGTAGTATTGATTGACGCTCAAGTTAAAACCTTACGCCGTAAAACGACAATATTGTATTGTTAAAAAAAAATATATGTGCGATTTAAATAAACATATATGTTCATTTAAATTAAATTTTATTTTATCATTTTTTGGTCAAATTATTTTAAAATAATTCCAAAAAAGATTCGCAAATATTACTACATTTTTAACATTCAAGATGATCACATCGGCTGACATAAAACTATTTTTATAAAATATTTTTACCGTTTCAACATTTAATTCAGTCAGTTGAAATGGACTATCTTCTTATGCCAATAGGCTAACCCGTTTTTAAAAAAAAGGCGTAAAAGACTGTAGGATAACCTGATTGGTCTTTTACAAATATATCTGGTTTCCTATTAGATATTGTCATTATTAAAAACACACTGCACACTAATTAGGATGCAAGGTGACTGAATAATATCGACTATAATTGTACAGTGGTGTAAATTTCTACGTCTTTGAGAGAATAAAAAAAAAAAAATGTATTATGCATTAAAAAAACTGAACTGTATATAATATCATTCATTTCAGTTGAATTTTTAGTGAAAAAAAGAAGACACTCGCACTACAATTTCACGCAAATAGTTATTTTATTTAATGTTGTATTACGTAAGAGATTATTTACAATTCTGCATAACCACCAAAGTAATAAATTAAAACCAACAATGGTTGACAATATTATTAATTGTATTTAATTTGAAACTTCATCAGAGGATTTTTAAATAAAAAAAAAAATGAAATTGATTATAATAAATTATTAATTAATCAAAACTCTCTTCAAATTTGAAAATTCGGAGTTAGAAAATCAGAGCTTAACAATATCATTGTGATTGTTATCATTTTTACAATGAAAAAACATTGCGGTGTATAAAAACTTGCCTTCTGAAATACTTTTTACGAATTATTTATTTATATATTCCTTGCATGTCACTACTTTGTAAACTATTACTAAAAAGTCAGCTCAAACTTCCAAGAAATGTTATTACAATCTACAGACGATGGTAAATTTTCAGAGTACAAAGTAGACAAAAACACGATTCGTACAACAAAACTATAAATAAATACTTCAGAATTATGTAACGATTAAATAAATCACGACATCGATGAATAATAATCTTTTAGTACTAGATTAAGTACAAGAACAAAAAAAAAATGTATCATTAGAAACTAAAACCAAATGTTTGTATGGTCTCACGATACTGGTAATAATATTAATGAATAAAAAAGTATTCAATTAATATCAGAAAACATTTTTCGCGATAAAATTGATATTTCATTGCATTTTTAAATTGACACACTTAACAAAATGGCTGTGTTAAGCATATCTGAATAGTGATACAACAACTATAAACTACTTGTATGTTGTTTAAAAACTTTTAAATAACGACAGAAAAACAATAATTTACTGGTATCTGCATTGAACTATTTATATTGAAAAAAAAAAATTGAACAGTCATTTTTTAATTTTAGCGATTGACAGATTTCTGAAATAGTCCGTTCAATTAACCATTAAAATTTTCTGTGATCTTTTTTAGGAGTCTCGTGATCTTGTAAATTCATGTCCGATGTTATTGTTTAGTAATATTATGTGTCCAGATTGACATACAAGAGCACAACGAGTGTCATTGACGACGACTAAGTGATGTTACAATGTTACTTTGTGAAATCGTTAGCACATGGTGTTTTCAAAGCCATTAAAATAACTTTTTTAATAAAAAAAACTTTTGTTTGCGCGGAGGGTAGTAATTTTTATTAAAAATATTCGAATTAAAAAAAAACTTGTAAGTTTTACAATAATATTTACTAACACTAATTGAAACAACTACAAAAACAAAGTCTTAACTTCAAATTAAGAATTTTTTCCACATTCAAAGTAATATCTTTTAATCATTTTCATTTATTTTTTATGATTAAATAATGAAATATTCATTTACATTTTTAACTTAAAATTGTTTTTAGAATTTGAAATTTGACCCTTGTTATAATCACTTAGACAATTTTTATTTTTTAACAAGGAATTTTACACTTGAACACTTGTTTTGAATAAGAAATTTACTACTTAATAGTAGATAAATCTTAAATTATATTAAAAATGATAACTTCCAATAGTAATGATCACGATGTATAATTAATAAAACTGTTTTTTCTTAATAAATTATACATTAACTATTATAATATAATTTATATAAAAACAAACTATAGCAAATTTTGATATAAATTTAATGTCAACATTTTAACGTGATTTCTAAAAAATTTTTATAAAAAATCCGATAAAAATACAACACATTTTACAAACATTCCAAATAGGGTCTTTTTCTAATAAATAATTCATTCAATTATCTTAAATAAAATATAATATTGTGTTATATTACTGTATATAAACTATATATTATTATTTTTGTTATAAAAAACTTTCGGTTACTTTCAAATTTTATTAAACTCTATTGTTAGAATTACATTGTAAAACTCTATCAAAAACTAATTTTATAAAGCAGTATTTAATAATCAAATCAATGGCACTAATTATCTATAAATGTTTTAAACAAATCTTAGTTACAAGCATTCAAGTCTTCTAAGATTTACGTTTTTTTCTTAAATGTGTTAATTATTTGATATTTGTAGTTATTTTTTTTTTCACATTTAAGTTAAGCAACCGGCGATATAATTAAAAAAGTAAACTCTAGTTAAATAAAGTTAAATGGTATTTTTTTTAAGTGCCTTTTATTGTATTTCGCTAGTATGAAAGAATTGTTAAAAATCGTATCTCACCTGGTAGATAATCGGCCTGTTCATCGATATCATCACTTTATCCAATAGTAATAGCGGCGCATTCCACCGCGAACGATATATCTGAACTTAATGACAAATAATATTATAGATTTTTTTTTTTTTAATGTTTCACCATTAAAATATACAATGCAGTTGATTAAAAAAACAGTTTGATTCACTCGCAAAGTTCGTGTAAATGTATCCGATCGACAGAACGACCGACGGGCGAACTAACACGGAGCTGGTGCCAACTGGTTGCATCCGTTGCGACTAGTGGACGCGTGGCCGTCGCTTGCTACGTGGACGCGGCTTCGGCGGCGGAGGAGGAGTCTGCGCGGACGGATGGGTGGCGAAACGCCCGGCCAATGGGTGGACACCGGTCCATGGTGCACAGCATCAGCAGGCGTCCGGGTGGCACAGGAGGGTTTCGCGATGATCGATTACCCCGGGACGTGGCGAGAACCAATCACAGACGCAGCATTTGCACGCGGGCCACGTCCATGATGTGTTTACAGCCCCATTCACGTTGTCAATGACCCACTTTGGTCTATTGTGTTTACCGCGGGAAAGCCGCTGCCGCACCAGTGCCATTTCCACGACGCGTGTTTGTGTACAGCTACCCTTAACAACACAATAGGCCTGATGTATAGGTCGGATTTACAAGGAGACCTATCGGCTGCGCGTTCAATGGCTTTTACGTATAGAGCCTCCCTCGAGAGAGTGTGAATTTCCAAAAATTATTTCATGTTTTTATCGCCATAACAATGCAAACCGACTTTGTAACGGTCCGATCGCGCACAACACTATTGTGGATATTTAATGCTGAAGTTTGCAGCCTGCCGATTGACTAATTCAATACATCACATTTTTTTTTTCTTGAACCAATTTGTGCGTCAATAACTATGCAAAATCTAACGACTTTGTTCGTCTTTTGTGTAATGCGAAAAATTTAACAATAAACAGTCTAGACGGAGTCTTATATTTTCAAATAGTTTGAATTTATAAGTAATATACATGTTTTCCGTAAAATTTTCGTAAAGTAAAAGAATTGCAGCCAAAAAGGATTATTATGATTAGAGTTGTTTGATTGGGGCCCTAATTCCCTTACAGATAAATCGCATTTAAATGTGGATGAAGACGACGTAATATGGTGGAAAATCTGTCAACTAGCACTGCCATCCAGACTAATAAAAAAAATAGTATAGGGTTACAGTCCCTATAGACAAATGTTCAAACTATACCCATGTCTTCAAGTGCTAATTGTGAATGAAACCTGAATTTTCAGGCCACTTATTATACATAATTTATGTTGTAAAACTATTTGATGTTAATTGAAAATCCAGTGAATATACCTTAATATAAATTAAGTGATGATATAACATACATAATGATTCACTGTAGTAAACAACCGGCCAAAAATAACTTAGAACCACTTATGATCACTCAGATTATACGAATATATAAATAGTTCTCTAAACATTCCAAGATCTAATTATTATAAATTTTTTTTAAGTAAAAAAAATAATTGAAAATTGACTTAGAATGAAGCATAATAATGTGAAACGTAGAAAAATTATTCAAACCAACTGAGAACCTTTTTTAGTTTCGATGCGAAGCTAAGAAGGTTTGGTTTTTTTTCATTGAATAATTTTTGTTGTACAAAAATAATAATTCATTATGATCAACAACATACATAATTAACTAATTGACTTGTAATTAAAAAAAAAAGCTGATAATGCAATTTTCTAATACATTAAAGATATTATATCTGAAAAAGAAGCGTCTAAAGAAGTTCCTACATTTTCTAATACTAAATGTAAACTAGAAGAATACGGTAAATCTTTGAAAAAAGCGTTAGTGCTCTCTCAAACATTTTATTTAACTCAATTATTTTCGAGCTGTTCAAAGTCAAATAAACGTTATACAAGTCATTCAAAAGATCAAAAGTCGTCGAACAAACGATCAGTTGGAGGTGAATTATTCGTTTCATAAACTGATAATGATTATAACGGCGACGACGGATATGAGAGCGATAGACTACAAAACGACTCTTTTCCTAATACTGTCAAACTATGGAGACGAGTCTATTAATATTTGTATTAGCTGCAATTTTTCCCTCTCAAATAACATAATATTACAACAATACACACAAAATGTTATAATATTAGTCTATTGATATTTGTATTATTTTCTCTCTGAAATAACATAATATTACAACAATACACACAAAATGTTATAATATTAGTCTATTGATATTTGTATTATTTTCTCTCTGAGATAACATAAAATAATAAATTATTACAACTATATGTATTTATGAAATGCTTTAATATTACATTAAATTTAAGTTATAAAAATGGTTATTTATTGTAAATTAGTTTGGCAGTCTACATAGTTACAGTATCTCTACCATTTTATTAAATGTTGTATTATTAATGACGAGAAAATCCTCATAACGTTCCAATTTTATATTAACGTCGCAATAATGGCGACTCTCTCTATCGTTAAACGTATCGTTCCTCCGAAAAAAATGAACTACTGTATCGACCATGTAAATATTAGATCATCAATGCACTGTATGAAATTGCTGATGAGTTTGGTAACCACAATGAACCAGAAGTAAAACATTATTTGAATGACGTGCACTGCCATAGCTAATGATAACTATGAAAGTAGAAGGGAAGAACAAATAAACTTTTCTTCTAAGTAAAAAATTTCAGTGAATTTAGTGCGACGATTTTGCTGCGGATGTAGACGGCGATATCGGTTGCAATTTTGAAGAGAGTAAAGATGAAAACTAGAATGAATGACGCTCGTTTTTCTTTTATTAATAAATCGTATATCAAGTTTTTTGTTAAGCTGCATTATACTTTATTTGTAGATAATTTCATTTTCAATATTTTTCTTTTTTTGTGTGAGTGTTTTTTTTATTATAGATTCTTTATAACGCATGCATTTTTTCATGTACTGTTTAAAAAATTATTAAGAAGTTAAATAATTCTTCGAGGAAACATAAAAAAGCATACATTCTTTTAACAAAACCAAATTCTTGTAAGTCATAATTCGAAAATACCTTTAAATAAATGTTTTGTGAAAAATGTAAATCGACTTTTTTTACCTATCCAAATATATTAGTTTTTAGAACGTTATATTAAGAAATATCATTAGAACATCGAGTCCATTACGTTTACATGTTAATTTTCATGGTACACCCTTTTTCTCATTATTTCAATCTAAATTAACAGTTTCATCGCTTAAGTAATCGTGTCGTGTTAATTAAACGAAAACACCCCTTTTAACATTAGAGTATATATATATATATATATATATTTATATAATCGGGTATAATTAAGAGAAACACCGATGATCGCCTAAGGGGTCTACCGACTGTCATAAATTATAGTAAGCCCGCAGTTAGTCTTGACAAATTGGCTTGTCTTTCTTCGTACGGGACAATCATAGATGACGTCTGTGCCGGTTTGAAACTTTTTCAAGTTAAACTTCGAATACAGTTTACAGAGAATTCTACCAATTGGTTGAAATTAAAAGTCTTCTGATTCAATTTGTTCTAAAAGTTGAATTCAAAAGTTTTACAGTTAAACACTTGGGACTTCACGGATTGGAAAAAGATTTGTAAATGTATTTTTAAAAAAACGAAATAATGTTTGTGCCGTTTTGAACTCTGGAAGTACATAATAATACACAGATATTCACTCGTGTGTTTTATGAGTTTTATATGAAGTAATTATGAAAAAAACGTAATACTTTGTGATTTGAAAAAATTTAACTTGGCGTCGAGTACACTATTCGGTTAAATCAGTACGATTTAACCTTGAAAATTATTGAGATATTTGCGTGTACTTATAAAAAACCATTCAAACTATTACTACTGCGCGTGTGTTGTATAGTTGGACGTCTCGGTGCATAATATAATCACATAAAATACAAGCAAATGTTTCAATAACAAGATAATTTCCAGAACTTAAACGGCTGATTGATTATGTCATTATTATTAAACAAACGCCATCGGTTACACGAGTACCGTTAGTTCGTGTTGTACTATCCATGTTATTGCTACGACAATCCTTTTTGTATGCATTGCAAGAAAACCATATTTTATCACTCTTGGGAATTTTTCGGTCGTGATGTTTAGTATGACCAGCAATTTTTGTCGGTTATCCCCAAGGAATTCGTCCCACAACCTGGCGATTCCAATAAGTATTTGTAATTCGATACGGTCCAGTCTCTGAGCCTACACGTATGCAAAGGGGAAAACAACCAATTGATATAAGCTTTCCCGCGGGACAAATATTTTTTCCGACAATATGTTTACATTGTTAATACACTGGGGTAAAAAACGAAAGATTGTCGTCTGGACCACACGCATTTGTCGACTTCTTAAGGTATCCAACTATAACTAGTGTAAAATAAAACAAAAATTAATTTTGAAAACATTTTGACTCTCTCGTCATCGTTCTTTGTTTGCTTATTTTGGAATGATATTCTGCAAGGATTAAATTTGTTCAACAAATTCGGTTTCGTTTAAATTTTGCATTCCGCCAAATACAAGACGTTAAAAAACAATCTGGTCCTATTGAACTTAATGCTATTAAAGTGTCGAAAATTCAACGATAGCCGACGGATCGAAATGATATTATAAAGTTATAAATCAAACATATAATATTACTCAAACAGACGTCATTCTCTGGAGGCATACCGTGTAACAATGCAATCTGTTATGTGCGTTTGCATGGGATGTGACGTTATTGAAGAAGAATCCCGTCAATAATGTGTCAAAGGTGTACGTGTGTGCCATTAGAACAGATAACAATACTCTTTTCCGCCGCTGCCGGTTAACTTGACAGCGACCACTCACGCGTACATCTCGACTGCAGGTAACTATCCGGTTCCTACACATTATACAATTTACTTGGATATCTGTATTTAACATCTAATTCACACACTCATTGGGAGATCCAACATGTCCAGTACACCCTGGGGGTCTTAGATTTTGCGTAAACATATCACAGTATGTGCTCGTTAAGAATTGACGTGTAATTTTTATTAGTTTCGACGGATTTCATAGAACGCCAAGGTTTTTTTTCACACTAATTAGACTATCCTGAATTTCTGAGTGTTAATATGTTAACACAATACAAAGATCAATCACTAGCTGATCACTAGAAATATTTTAACATTGAAGTTTCTATCCAATTTTTGGTAAAAAAATTAACCATTAAACTATACACGATTTAAGCGAAATATTGATAGAACTTTATATTTATAAGTATATTATATTCCTTAAAAATAAGTGTCTCTCAAAATGTCGGGTACAAAAAAAGGCCATACTTTGGCAAAATATTAAAAATAAAATTACCTTTTCCGTCTAATAGAATAATAATTAATGTTTTACCCTACACCTGCCCAAAAAAAGAAATAGTGTATTATAAATTATATATGTTACACATAAATGGTTAAAAATTGTAATGTTTTACTGTAACTTAAAATGATCGTTGTCCAAAAAAATATAACTACACACATTTTTAGCGGCTTCGTAGTGTCACCAGCATCTGTGATTATTATTAAATTGCCAGCTGAAGTGGTTATGTGTACACTCCAATGTACGTCGAAGAGGGAAATGTGTGTGCGGACCAGAGGCTAGGGAGTTTTGTGCGTTGAACGTATAGAAGTCCGATATGGTCATCGATCAAGTACGCTGTCAACCTGAAACACCCAGCGCAGGACCTGGGCATCCTTTGGTATATATACATGTGATATTATTCCGTTTTCCTCTCGGATATAACAGGAAGCCCGGGAGCCAACCAATTAAAACAAAAATTAAATAATTGTTTCGGGTCATTGCTGAAGATTGATGGAGTTTGGAATCGCCAACCGCGTCTCCATTTACCGGACGAACATTTTCTAAATAAGACGCTAACACAACAATGGTTGTCGAACAGAAGCAAGTTTCCAAAAAAATAACAATCACCATGTAAACGTAATTTTTGTATTGTTCAAAAAAAGCAATAAGAGTAATATTTTATAATAATATATTTTACACTTTAAAGACACTATAATTTAATGTTATTTTATTAACGTAATGTTATCACAAGTCGATGGGAAAATACAATTTTACCATATTGATTATTGATTTTAATAATTTTATCGAAAGGAAATGGAAATTATATCAAACTACTTTTTAACAGCTAAACTTTAAAATATTTCTATAACAATTTTGCTATATTATTAACAACATTTTAAGTAACCCTCAGTTTTAATAATAAGCCTCTACGGATTTCTCTTTCCATGGATCCAAATTTAACGTTAATGTACCGCAATCGACATAATTCTGCATGTACCTAAAAATACAAATCATTTTTATGGGTAAAGTTATTGGGTTAAATTATATGTCAATAACAATGAAAAAAAAATGTTTATAGTACGATTTTAAATGATTTGATCTTTTTACCTTTGACTTAATGATAAAAATATATCATACGGCACGTGTTTTATACTTGAAGTGGCACAGATAACATGACCAAATGTTATTGATTTAATTACTTTTAATTGCTCTAAAGTTTAAAAATGATTGTTGAGAATAAAAACGAATTTTAATTGAAATGTTTTATTTACCCGACGTAAAACTGCCTGGTTGTCCTAGAACGTCGTAAAAGAAACGATCCCCGTTCTTGTAACGGTAAAAACTTTCGGCTAGTATTGATCTGGATGTAGGGCCTACTTTAGCTCCTTTAGCTGGTATTTCTAAAAGTGCACCTACCATGAAATCGATATCATTAACAGAAAAGTAAAGTTCTTTCAACTTTTGTACATCCTATAACATTTACATATTTATTATTGAGTTTATTCTATGTTTGATATCATGTTAAATTGATGTTATAATGAGTACTTGCAGTATAAAAATGTATTAAAGATTTAATTATATTAGTGTATAACATATAATTAGTTTACTAAACATCGTATGGTATTAAGTCAAGTAAATCATCAAACGATGAAGCTGCCGGTATTCCACAGATGGATCTCATTGTATTATACGGAGGCATACCAGTGTCCCGTCCTCTTTGAATATCTATTGCTAGAAGATCATTTCCCGAAAATTTTGGTTTAGTCTTTAAAAATAAATTGTTTGATATCTACGAAATAAAATGAAGTGTTAACTTTTCAATTAAATTTTGTCTAAAAATCTTATTTACTAATGGATTGTACGATGGTTGCTCTTGGCGTGTAGAGCTTTCCATTAGACCACGTATCATATTGTCATAGTTATCGTTATAAGGCAATAAATCTGGTTTGTCCAACCATTCGGTAATTACAGCATGTTGAACATTATGCATATTTTTGCTTATTAAACTTATGTATGAAAAAAATATAAATACATGTTTTTTTTTTTTTTTTGATAACTCGTATTAACTTAGCTTATTTAAATAAAAGGTAATCTCTTCAAAAATCTCACTTGAAAAATTCAGGGATTTCTTTGTGTAAAACTCTAAAAGCGCCAGTTGAATGTTCTTGGGCTGTAGAAGGGTCAAGATTTTCATCGTATACAGCGGGCTTATTAAAACCACGTTTCGCTGTGAAATCTTTGCCTAAAAAATTCGAAGTATTAAATGTCCAATTGTAATTTTTCAATAATCAAGAATAAGACATCTACCAAGAAGTATAGGCAAATAATAAGCGTAATTTATATGCTGAATAGTAGCGATGATAAATCTGCGAGTTTCTTGATATAGTTTTTCATCATTCCATTGCGGATTGATTGTTTGCAAACTATGCGCAATAACATTATGGAATTTCAAAAACATAGTTTGAAAAACTGCAATTCCCAAATTTTGGTTTACTCGGCGATCTCCTAATATATAGAATAGTGAAAAACGTTTTTTCCAATCAGTATTCAAGCTAGAGCGGTTACAATTTTAAGTAAATTACCAGCCAAAAAACAAAATTGTGAATCTGATGAAGATTCACATTGCGATGATGTTCGAGAACGTTGAGGACAGAATTCTTGATGATTGCTGTTGAATTCTGATCTTAAGCGACCATCTTGAAACGTTCGAAGTTCAGAGGCTAATTGTTTATTGGACCCATAAATTTGAGATCCATCCATATAATGTGTTGACATAACCGGCTGTAAATATTTCAATTAAAATAACCATCAATTAAAAGTTATTATAATTATAAAAAAACACTTTACAAATGATGCCGGAATCGATGAACAGTTATTCATATTGGCCATTGTTATAGCGCGTACAAAGTTTATACATGTCTGACCAAATTTTGAATAAACTGGATCATTTAAAGGAACGTTTATAACATATTGACACTGAATAGGGTACTTGTTTCGTACTAAACAACAGCCACCAGTGACTGTTAAAAAATACTTGATTATGTTTACTCATCAAAGAGAAAATGTGAAAAAATTAATGAATACTTACTCGAAGGGTCTGGTGGAAGATCGGTCGTATCATGAGCCACAAACTGACCCCACTCCATAAAAAGTGTATTGTGTTCATTCCAACTAGGAAACTGTTTATTCAAAAAAAGTTTTAAATTTATAAGCCTGGCGCCAGGTAAGGGACTTCCATCAATTTGTTTTCGAAAACTATATATTCCTAAAATGTATTGTTCAAATCATAAACAAAAAGCATTTTAAAGAATTACATCTATAGAATATGTGAAAAAAAATTATAAATTTTCTTGATACATTTAAGTATTATATTCTTCAATATTACAATTTTATGTTCGGTACAATTTATTAAATAGATTTTTATTTGTTTAAAAAAATAATATGAAAATTATAATAAATCATTATTTTGTCTAATTATTATAATTTTTTTTTAATAGGGGAAATATTTAGGAGATAGATATAAATTTTTTTTAATAGAAATACCAATACATATTTAAATTTTATAACAATTTTCTACAATCTTAGATTTGATCAAATTAGCTCTGGTAAGCAATAATTTTCATTATAATAGTGTTATATTTGAAATATTTTATTGTCTCACCATCGCCGTAAAAAGGGTAAACATGCCGCAAATGAGATGTATTAGCTGCACCCCACCAAGGAACGTTCAAATTGTTACACAATCCATCGATTGTTCGATACTTCGCATTGACATCACAAACGATATTTGAATAACATTGTTCACCAGCAATATGATCGCAGTTCGGTACAGAAAATCCATTTGTATTCAAGAAGAGTGATTGTGCCTATTATGTTGAGAAATGATAATAAAATTAATAATTAATCTTTTAAATAATTATTGAGTTATATCAAATTTTGATTTGAATTAAAAAAAGTTACATTACAAATAAGATAGGATAATAATTGTACTAAAAACAACTCAAATCTACATTGAATTAATTTTTTTAAAAATATAAATTCGTAAAAAAATAAATAAGCCGTATAATTACATAGATAGTATAGAAAATGTACTATTTATGTCCCAAAATTTAACAAAGTAAAAATTATGGCCCTAAGTATAATATTTCTAAGAATTTCATAAAATACATTTTGATTTTATTAATAATAATAATAATAATATTTATTCAAATGAATAAAATGGACAATGCCTAATTGTACAGTTTAAAACTTAAGTAATATATTACAACGATAATAAGTATTTACAATACTTAAGAATGAAGACAAAATTCATTAATATTTAGTAGTAACAACTATATTTAATTTAATAAGTGTAAATTTATAATTTCAAGTAACGATAAAAAGAAATAATCAGTATGGCCAAAGTGCTGGTTATATTAGACCCTAGCTATTGGAATAGGAGAATATTTTAAATAATTTGTGCTATATGAAAAATAAAGAATTGAGCGATTGAAATTAAAGGAATATAGCCTAATAAATATAGAGCGACTATAACAACAATAATGAATTTATATATAATAGTAATATCTACAATCTCTTGCCTTAATACTAACGTGGGAAAGTTTAAAATTGATCTAATCGGCGAATAACAGTAGTAATTTATATCAATGTTAACCTAATAGACTATAAATTTTATAAATATTAAGAGCAGAATTTTTTTGCTAAAAAAGTAATTCACTAAAAACTGATGTTCTTGAATAGATACTGATTTTTTTTGTAATGATATAGAAAATATTAATTTAAAAGTGTATTGAATATTTAAATACATTATTAATTTCATCTATATGCCATAAAAATAAAATACTAATTAAAAAAAAATTCAAATGCTTCATCGAATTTTTGCAAATTATATAACCGACATAATTTAGGTCAACTCAAATTGACTATTAATTTTATGCAAATTAATATTATAGTGTTTTGTTAGATTTGATCATTAAATTGATAGTAAATTATAAATTTAAACAAGTTATAATAATATCCTAATACAATTTTAAAAATATGCTCTTTGGTAGTGAGTCTCAACCCGAGGATATTTTTTAATTTTTCTTTTTAAATTATTAAATACATTTTAAACTATAAACAACACTTACCCTCGAAGTATTAAGGAACATCAGAATAAAAATAACAATGAGGCGTTGCATAGCCAAATTGAATGTTTTAGAGTGTACCTATTTATTTTTAGTTGATTAAATGAATAAATTTGATTAACAATATGAATTTGTTAGATGTATATCACTCACAATAAACAAAATGTTTTGAACAGTCAAGTTCTGTTGAATTTATAGATTACACTGCTAAAATAAACGACAAAAAATGTACGGACGTGTCACAAATTATAGTAGCAAAATGATTGCCTTACATTTTTACCACAACTAAATTCACCAACGTACGAATAGAAGCGTTATTTTATATACATATATGTATATAAAAAAATTTAAACAGCAAAGTATATTTGTTTCTATTTGTTAGTAAACAATTGATGAAAATGTTATTATTTTTTTACAAAAAACCCAAAGAAAAAAGTATGTATGTAATATTAATTTCTTACACCACATTTTATCTCTATAACAGCACTATATACAGAACGATTCAATAAGGAAAACATTCATTTTCTTGGAAACGATAGAAAAGTTTTAATTTTCGTAAAGAAATATTGGTCGATAGCTTTCGATAATTTATTTTTAAACAAAATAATATGTTGTTTATTAATAATGTGGACTATATTTTTATTGAGATTACTTGCACATTTTACAAAAGAATAAAAACTTTAGGTGCGTTGGACTCATTATTCGACGTCCGGTTTACGAGTAACTCACAACAAAAATGCCTACGCCGTAACGCCCCCCGCTTACTCCATTATAATCTAGATCTTGTTTTCCCAATATAGAATGTAGTTAAATAATTTTTTTTTTTTTTCTTCCGGTATAAAAAACCTTAATGGAGCATCTATTTTTAGTTGAATATGATAAAAACAAAATTCTAACAATTTTATTCTTATTTTTTTATCTGATCAACCGTTGCGTTTTAAAATTATTTTAAGACTTGGTTTAAAATACAAATTCATCATTAATTTTGTTTTTTTAATACCGGGACAACAATAATCTGCTTCAATGGACCATAATTTTTTTTTTCACCGGTCATTCAACAATGTATGATAGTAAAATTGCGTTAAATATTAGAGTATGCGTCTATTAATAGACATGAAATATTAAAGATAATATTTCTGTACGATAGATATCATCGGGTTGTATCTGTGACAAATGATGACTAAGGCATTCTAAACAAGTATATTATCAATAGAAAATTGGTCAAAAATTATTAAACTTAATTAAACAAACAATAATAGCAAATAGTTTATAGGATAAAAAATATTATAAAAACAATATTTTTTTCAGTCATACGTATAATCAAATTCAAAAATTATAGTTTCTATCAAAGAAAACTAAAGTTTAGCTATTTTGTCATTGAAGAGATAAAAAATATTATTTAACTATATATTATTGCTGAAATTTTTGGATCGAATAATATTTTCCTTTGCAAAAATTAAATATTTTTAATAGTTCCCGAAAAAAATGTTTGTCTTAAAAAAAGACTGGATAATCAATATTTAGTTTGGTTATTATATAGACTGGTTTTTCACGATATTATATCTAATTTTAACGTTTTAAATAAAAAAAAATAAATATTAAAATTATGATGAAATTTATGTTATAAGTTTAGTTAAGTATTTTATATTGTCATAGATACATATTCAAAATAACAAACTACAATATTTTTATTTTTACAAAAATTTGTCAGTTTCATTTTGAAAGCCACTTTGTTAGTGTTTAAATTATTTGTAAAAATCTTTATAGATAATTGAAAACTTAAAATTCATATTTTTGTATAAAACGTACAGTAATGTCAGACTCCAAATCGAAAAAATCAACTACATTTGAATTATTTGAAAAAATTGGTAAGAAAGCATACATCATATAGACTAAGATTATGTTTTATTTAGTGAACAGTTTAAGTGAGCATTGCGAGTAATACATAAATTTGATTATTCTTTTTAATATTAACAATTACATATATAGTTATATATTAAATTGTATTATTAAACACCATTTTATTAAAAAAAGTATACTTAGACGTATCTAGAACAGTTTACAATAAGTAAATTAATGTTTCTCCGCCTTAAAAGTTTTTATATAGCATAGCATAATTTTATACTTTTTAAAGGAGTTAATTTATCGTATGGGAAGGGTGAAAACCCCTATTTGCGATTTAACACGTATAATAAATTTATAACAATTTTAAGTACATAGAAATTAAAGTCATAAAATTTTTCAAAAATGAGTTCGCAGATATATTTTTACTGTAGATAACTATCTAACAGCAGGGTGAAACTGTGAACTTAATGAGAAAATCGAACTTCGCTCAAATTTAAAATGAAATAATTCATAACTAGAGTTCGATACTTTATACATTTAGGAAGTTGATTTTAGTTATACCGAATGAATCAACGATACATAAATATTCGTTTTTGTTTTTCTTAATCCTAATCGATGAATGATAAATATGAACAATAATTCTTGTGATATTGTATATCTATAATAAATTTTCATGGAATTGGGTGTCTCAAAAGTGGTTCAGACAAATAATATATATGATTAAATATCGGAACCCTAAATGTTAAATTATTTTTCAAAGGTAATAAGAAAAATTTAACAATCTAAATTTTTATCTGTTATTTTTTATTAAAAGATTAAGAATATAAGTATAAATAAAGTTGTTTTTTTTTTCTAAAAAACTAATTTTTATATAAAAATTTATAGTAACTAAATTGTTAACAAAAAACACACATTTCTATGGGTAATAAGTAAA